TGCTTCCCTCAGTCCTGCATCTTAGGCACGTCTATGACTTGATTTTCTACCACTTAACTTCCTGTGTTTGTTGCTGGAAAAGTGGCATGAGGTCCCATCCTATGACCTCTTTTGGCTACACAACGGAGATAGAGATTATATCTTCACCCCACCCCAAGGCAGTTTGCCATAAGAGAGTGGTCAGACATGTCTCCCCCACCTTCCCACCCCCACCCATCACCATCTTCCTTGACCATATTCTGATACCAACAGTTCATCTCACAACCTTCTACTTCTCTGCTTTACTGAATTTCAATACTTTGTTGCAATAGTCATGCACAACTCACAGTGCTCACAGTTAAGGGGATTTATTACAGAAGGCAAACAGGTCACAAATTAGGATCAGAAAACATTAAGGATATAGGCATGGATTCACAGCAAAACTTCTCAGGCAGCAGCAAAGGTTCTGTTTCTCTCTGGTCCTTAGCCCTCAGCTACTTAGTCTGTTGGCCTCAATCTGCCTGGGGCTCAGGAGGGCTGCCTGTGGCTCAGCAGTCTGGCTGCAGCTCTGGTCTTGATGTTGTGTGGGCTCTGCTGCTTCTGCTGCCTCGGGCAGGAAGGGATCTTGAATGCGCTCTTCTTCCTTGATGCTCCTGGGATTGCTCTCTATTCCTGCTTCTGAGGTAGCTTTCTTATAACTCCTGGGAATGCTCTCTATTCCTGCTTCTGAGGTAGCTTTCTTATACACAGGGAAATGGCAACTAAAACACAATCTCTTCGTTTCGTGTTTCACATACTCGCCTCATGGGGTCCCACATCCAACCATTTGGTGGGCGACATGGATAGAAAAGCCATAGCACGGATGAAACATACATTATTTCTCTAGTTCTTTAATGCTTCCTCCCACTCACTATCATGACCCCAATTCTACCTTACAAATCCAGCTAGACCAGAGCATGTGTATGGGTATAGATGGGAGCTGGAACCATAGGGAATCTAGGACAGATAAACCCCTCAGGACCAATAATGAAACTAGCCATACCAGGAGGGTAGGGGGAAGTTAGGGGGGTGGAAAGGGGGGACCGATCACAATGATCTACCTATAACCCCTTCCCAGGAGGATGGACAACAGAAAAGTGGGTGAAGGGAGACATCAGTCAATGTAAGACATGAAAAAATATATGTATAAATTATCAAGGGTTCATGAGGGAGGGAAAAAAATGAGAAGCTGATACCATAGTCTCAAGTAGAGAGAAAATGTTTTGAAAATGATGATGGCAACAAATGTACAAATATGCTTGACACAACGGATGGATGCAGGGATTGTGATGATTTGTACGAGCCCCCAATAAAATAATTTTTAAAAAAAAAGGTCTCACTTCACCACACCGACGTTCCAGCTTTACTTGCTGCTCCCTGAGTCTGCCAAGCATGCTCCCAGCACAGGGCCTTTGCACTGGTTCCTCTGCCTGCAATACCGTGCCGTTGATATCTGGAGTCTCTGAGTAGTGGAAATGGGTAAGCACATCCTAGTGCTTCCTGTCTAAAGGCTGACGACCTTGAGAACCCGATGGCGCTCACTTACGTGCTGCAACACGTGGGAGCACCTGGAGCCTAAACGGATTCCGCAGCAGCAGGTCGGTTAGCTATGTGGCCTCTCTCTCCACTCAAATTTCTGCTCAGATGTCACCTTTTACCATTTTTTTAGTGCATAGAATTCTCCCCCTCCTCATTTTATTGGGAGCGCTTACAGGTAGTATAACAAGCCACCGTTCAATGAGATCAAGCATCATTGTGCAATGGCCGCCATCATCATTTTTTTTCTTCATGAACTCTCTCATCAGCTCCTCTTTCTCACCCTCCCCAGGAATGCTTGTTATTGTATTATTTATTATTATGTGCCTTATCTTACATCATCCAGTGCATCCATTCACCTACTATTCTGTTAGCCCTTCCTCTGGAGTGGGGTTATAGAATCATCATTTTATCAGTTCCCCCTCTCCCCTCTCTGCCACCCCAGCCTCTCTCTACCCTCAGGGAATCATTTCTCCCGTTACTATTTCTGAAGGGGCTAATCTATCTGTGATGTCATGCTTGCCTCGAACAATCTTAATTTTGCCTCTTTGGTGTAAAATAAGTATTCTCTCTCACCCACTTGGTCCTCTTAAGCTAAGCTGCTTTAATTTTCTGCATAACACTACCCACCTCATGACATAGGAGCATGTGTCTCTCTTTATTTCCTTACACGGTTTTCCTCGTTGGCACACTTTGCTTTGTTCCTCAGGGCTTATGTCGGACAGGGAGCCAGTGTTTCAAGCTATCAGGTGGAGTGAAATGAATCGTGTGCAGATGGTGAGCTTGTGTGAGAAGGGAGGACTGGCCCAAGGGCATCGGGATATCGCCTGTACTGCCTTAGGGCAGGGCTGCGGCTATCAAGGTTCACTGAATGAATATAAAGGCACTAGTAAGAGTGACATAGCAGATTGAGAAGGAAGAATACCTAGGGGACAAAAATAAAGATAAATGATGTGAAAGCAAATCTCAGCCTTCAGTGTGCTGGTTCCAGCTCATAGTAGCCCGTAGGCTGGAGTAGACGGCCCCAGAGTTTCCACTGCTGCTACTACATGGAAGTAAATTGCCACTTTTTTCTCTTGTAGAATGGCTGTGGGTTTGAACCACCAACCTTTCGGTTAGCAGCCAAACACTGTGCCACCAGGCTTATTCACATAAGTTAGAAAGCATGAAAATTAATCAAAAGAATTACCTTTCAGGGTTGTTTTTTTAAAGCAGATTGCCATTGAAGTAAAGTTGTATATTCTTTGTTAGAAGAAAATTTGCATTAAGTTTGCCTTCCTGTAGTGATATGGACGTGAGTCATTTCCCAGGGAACTCCCACACCCCAATCTACTTAACAACAACCACAAATGTTTCATTGTTCAAGAATACTATGAAACAATCCATAATGAAAGTTTATGGTAGAATTTCACTAACTTTAAATAACATCCTGGCTAGCCACTGTGGACACATACTCATTCAAAGGCATGTTGGAAATTAGCCAAACATAACTTTAATAATCTGAGAAAATGTGTTCCAGGCACTATTCTAGAGGTGGAAAGATAATGGTGAAGAATCAGTTGAACATCTGTCTGAACAATTCAGACCAGAGGTCAGCAGACTTTCTTAAAGGGTCAGATAGAGTTGGGGGATGACATAACAGGTCAGGCACACTAATGTTTTAGATAAAAGAATGAGTGTATCTGTGTTCCAATAATCTTATCTATCTTATTTAGAAAAGGTTTGCAGGCTATATTTGGCTCATAAGCAAAATTTACCAGACCCTTAGTCTAGACAGAGAATAAAGAAAGAGAAATGGAATTCAAACATTAAAAGATTTAGCTGGAATATTTCCCTTTAAATATCTTTTTTCTATACTCAGTAAAGGATTTTAAGTTAACTTATTAAACAGTGGTAGATGTGCTTTACACAATTGATGTATGTATGGATTGTGATGAGAGTTGTATGAGCCCCTAATAAAATGATTTAAAAAAACCCTAAAAAAAATAGTGGTAGAAAAAAGTTTTAAAAATGGTATTCAAGTTCTGGCATTTTATGGGCCTCTTCCATAGTAGCAAGACTGCATTAGCCTAAAACTGATGAGCGTAAGTT